ATGTAGGTAACCATATATATATATATATATATATATAATAAAATTATTTAAAAATAAATATTTTAAATATAAAATTTAAAAAAATAATTTTAAAGCATAATTCAAAGAAATTGTACGTTAAAATATTAATGTAAATAAATTTATTTTTTCTGTAAAGTTAATTTAGATGAGTTTGCACTAAGATATAAATTTTAAAAAAATTTAAATAATTTCAATTTAATAGGTTTAAATAAAAAAAATAAAAATATATGAAGTCAAATTCTATTATTAATATTTTTTCTACGCTAATAAGTTCATTGTCATCTCTTGATTTTTTTAAAAATATTTAAATCACTAGTACAAAATGTGCTTTTAAACTCGCTGTCTATCCAGACGCGGTGGCAGTTTCGCAATTAAGGAGACCTTATAGGCCTCAGTTCAAAGAAGACCAGTGTAGAACAGTTCTACCACTTCGGTTTCAAAGGCAACCGGTGCCTAAACATATACTAACTTTCTAGGCTTTTCGTTTGAAATGGTCAGAAAATGTGATACTGCTTCGGTTGCACGCAGAACCGAAGCATAAAGACCTGAAACACTGCAACACGTCAAGTCAGTCAAGTCAATATTAATAGGCACCGGTTAGGTGGAAGAACCGAAACAGAAACAATATAGTAATATTATATTTTGAACCGAGGCCGTATAGGCCCAGATCCTTTCTCTTTCTGATTCGGGCCTAGTGACCTAATTAAGGGTGAAGCTTCTTTCCCTTGAACGCGCACCAGATCCTCCTCTTTCCCTTGAAGGCGCACCAGATCCCTTTCGGAGCAAGCCTAGATCCTCTTTCCCGCACCATCTTCTTCCCTTTCTCTTCTTCCCTTGAACGCGAACGAGCAGCGAGAGTGTTGTGATGGAGGTGAGTGGCCAGCGAAGACGTGGAGAGACGCGGCGAGGTCGCATCTGATAGCGGCAAGGCGCGGCGAGGTCGCGTCTGATAGCGGCGAGGCGCAGCGCGGCGAGGTCGCGTCTGATAGCGGCGAGGCGCGATGAGGTCACGTCTGATAGCGGTGAGGCGCGGCGAGGTCGCGTCTGATAGTGACAGCGCTTCCGCGAAGGTTCCAACTCCGACTTCTTCGATGGAGACGATTGCGAGAGGACGGCGGTGGCGCGTTGCGAGGAAGGCGGCAACGAAGTGAATCGTTTTTCGATTTGGCATTTTAGGTTTCTGAAATTGAGAATTAGAGAATTAGGTTTTTCATTTTCAGATTTGGGGTTTTTGTTCTTGTTTTTACAACTTAGGGTTTCAGCTATTCATCTAATTTTGGGGTTGCAGTTGTGTTATCTGAGTTTGTTGAGTTTGTGAAACAGCGTGGTTATGTCCTCGGATTCTTCTCTCTAAGCGCGGGTCTTGTTCATTTTTAATGTTTTTCAGTTTGGGGTTTGAATCTGAAATTGAAATCAGAACCGAAGCACGCTAAAGGAAAAAAAAAGATCCTACTACCTCGGTTCAGGTTCTAACTGAGACCGTAGAGACAGACAACATACATCGGTTCAGAACCGAGGCAAAAAGTCTATCAGTTTTTGCCTCGCCTGAATATGCCCCGTTCAGAAACCGGTGCCTATAAGTAAAATTAACCGATGTCGTTTCCTCTTACTGCACTAGTAAATGAAATTCACTAATAATTATTAACATGTACTTATAATAAATTACAAGTTCAATATCATAATAATGTATTTACCTAATAATAAGTGAGTAATTAAATATTTATGCTCACTATGAATATCCATTAAAAATATTTATTTAGTATTAATTATAGATTTTATTGGTATATATTCATAGATACAATTTTTTTTTCATGACTAATATGGATGTAGTAATTTGGAATTTTTAATCCATATCTAGATTAACATTGAAACTAATAAATGATATAAATAACATATTTTACATTAGTTGTTAACTATAATTATAATATATAATATAACACATTCTGCATCAATTTATAAAATAAATTACATCACATTTATATTATTTATAAGTAAAATAGATTTAGAAAGTCCATCATTTATTACACTTGTTATTGTTATAATTAATGTAGTCAAAACATGACAGATTATAGAATTATACAATTTTACAACATGTATAATTTTGAGTTTTGAGTTTATGCAAGATTACGCAAATTTGTGGAATCGTAGTTTTTAATGCATTGCTTCATTCAAATGTCGATGCTGAGTTGCTTTCTAGTACCAATAACAATTTATACTCTCTAAATTCAATATTTAAAATTAAGTTCAAAACCAAGAGCTATATTATTATCACTTCAATAAATCTCATACTTAAGACATATCATTCACACATCATTTAACTTTCACGTATTATCTTCATTTATATCATACATTTCACATAATATTCCTATCATGCAATTCATTCATTTCCAATCAATATCACATTACAAAGATTATTAGTTCTCTTTGTCTGGATTGAAATGTACTTTTATCCAAAAGAAAGAAAAAAAAAGCTCTCTCACAACCTTCCAATCAAGTCTATCAACCTAAGTAAACTTCTAAAAGTTCAATCATAGTGCTTCTTAATATATTTCAAGAAAAGAATAATAAGATGATTAAAACTTACATAGGACAAAAATAAATTGACATCATCATCTAGCATTGACAATTAAAACTTTGTTGGTATTAATGAGAACGAAAAAATAAAAGATGTTTATAAACTAAAAATTTAATATCAAATCTTTATTTATAAACTTTATTTTTTATTCACTTTAAAATCTATTATTAATATATAAGATCTTACATATTTTCATAAAATTTAATGTATTTATATTCAATGGGAGAAAATATCTCTCTATTATTAGTAATGCTATTAAATATAACCATGGCATTAATAATTTCATTTATAAAAAAAATAGCAATTTGTATTACTCTTGATAAAGTATTAAATCATATTTTTATATTTCTCAGTAACTATATTATTTTTTATTGTTATTTATTTTTTTCTCTTTAGTTTCTCTTTCCTATTTTTTCTTTCATTTATGCTTACCATTTGTTAGTGTTTTCATCATATTCATGAGCTTAGAATATAGCAAAAGATAATGCAAAATTATGAAAATGATCAAATTGACAAATAAGAAAGTGTACTTACGTCACATACATCCATTTCTAATTCAGATAAGTCGGCCAGTACTAAAGCTATTAATGAAAATATATTAGAGTATCTAAAAATTTTCTTTTACATATATTTAATACTAGATTACTTGTGTGTTGGTTAGGTAGAATGTTGTATAATTATATATTTATATATAAAAAGTATCTTGTGTTGTTGGAGATACATTATTATAATATATGGAATTATTATGATAGAAAAGGCTAGCCAATTAAACAAGAAATCTAAAACATATTCAAAAATCAGTCAAAGGTTAATTAAAATATGAATAAATATTTCTTAAGGAATTTAAAATCAAAATTTTATATTTATTAGATATCCAGCTTTTGAAAAATAAAAAAATATTTCATTACATATTATTTTAGAATATAGTAATATAGATTATATATCATTATATATGATAAACAAAGTCAATAACAAACATATTTCCGACAACATCACTAATTACATGAGGAAATTAGCAATAAATTCTTTTATCACTATCTTTAAGACATTTTGGTCATTTGCATTCTACCATTGGTTAAACAAGTATAGTTTCTAACCTGGTATTAAAAATAATATGGAAAATAATTACTAACGATGTTAAAAAAGGTAAGAAAAAAATATTTTTCATTTGTTTTCTTTCGTTATTTAATGCACCAGGCGTTGAAAAATAAAAATTGAATGAAAGAATTAGAGAGAATTGAAAATTATATATCTTGAATGGAAAGAATATAGTTATACTTTTAAAAAATTGTATTACCAGAATAATGGGAAAAATATCACTGTATATATGAAATATCAGTAATTGAATGGTAACTTGAAACTCACATTTCTTGAAGTTCCTGTCATGCTGTGAAAATCAAATTCGTCTCCGTAACACTTTGCCGATTCTTTGACTAAATTAAACTGCCGACTTGTATTGAATATTGATCCATTGCACCTGAATTTGTGTTCAAACATTCAAAATTGACAACACCTACCTATTAAAAAACTTCATATTCCACAACATTTTACACCATTTATTTAGGCACATGTGTCTGTTACAAACCAGAAACTAACGAGAGTAATAGTATATATTATTCCACACTTCTGCTACTGTATTTAAATAAATTCAGAACTTTACCAACAGTCTGTGCGGTGATAAAGCTTTGTATCCGTTAATTTTAATTATAGAATACAATTTTATCTGAACAACATATAATATATTTATTATTATGTTATTGAGAATAAAAGAATGATGGTTGAAGAATCCTCCTTTTGAAGAGTTGGAATTATTTGACCGAGTGGTTGTGAATGTTGTGATTTCTCTGACCATAAACCCTGTTTTCTGTTCTGGTTGCTTCATTTAAATAATTGTTTGAACTTCAATTATCCTATCACTATAACATCCAATCCAAACAACTCCTATGTGTGTGTGTGAGTGTGTGAGGACCACAACCCTTTTGATTTTTGCTCTGAAGCCAACATATTATGGGTGCAGAAACCAACACCCACATATCCATAGACATGAAATGAAAGTGAGCACGTGCATGCAACTCATACATGCTCATCCCCAACCCAACTTCCACTGCTGCATGTTGAAGAGCGTGAGATCTTAGATTGAAGTGAAGATCCTTAAGAAATATGAGATTACTGGAGTAAATGATGTAAGTGTTTGATAGTGTTTGACAACTGTTGTTAACCTTAGAAAGAATCTTTGGACCCATTGGCCCCACGCTCAGCGCCACCCCCTTTCCCCCTAATGAGAATCCATTACAAAAACAAATTTAGCCCATGGACCGTAGTGTACTTGTCTTCTTTTTTCTTTGCCAACTTTGTATTTCCATTGGTGGCCAAGTCTATCTAAATTAAATTATTATACCATCATCATGCACATCTACGTTCGTTTCACAACACAACCAAACCTCTTACACCACTGCCAACGGCCTATAACTCTCCACGTGTCGACCACCCACCTTCACCTTAACCCTTAAGCACTTCTCTCTCTTTCCCATTCTATAATAGTAGCAACTCCGAACAAAGAAAACTCAGCTCGTAGGTTATTACCAAATATTGCATTCAATTTTGTAGGATTGCCTCGTCTACAACTACCCCCACAAACAGTAATCAAACCCTTCACCACACACAACCTTCAAGTAATTTTTAATAACATCATAAATACCCATTAGATATAGACATCTCATAAAAGACATGCTCACTTCTTCTTATCACCTTCATAGGCCTTTCTTCGTTCCAGTAAACACAACTTCCTTATACCTCCACCACACCCTTTTGCCTCGAACCTCCAATCTCATCTTCTTCTTGGCCTTCACATTCATTTCTCTCCTCCCATCTCGATCAAAGGGCTAAAGGTTTCCAATAACTTGGATTCTTCTTTCAAGGTTCGATAGATCTTATTTAGCCATGGGTTTGAGTTCTAAGCAGGTTTCTAGCAGTGGACTTGATTGGAAACAAACCTTATTGGAGGCTCAGGACTTGGAACTCCCAAAGCCTAATCTGATGAGGAAACAACAGCAGCAGCAGCAGCAGCAAACTCAGCCTTCAGAGTCTTTGAAGTGCCCGAGATGTGACTCAACCAACACCAAGTTTTGTTACTACAACAATTACAACAAGTCTCAGCCTCGCCATTTCTGCAGGGCTTGCAAGAGGCACTGGACTAAAGGTGGAACTCTACGAAATGTTCCGGTGGGTGGTGGAAGGAAGAACAAGAGGGTCAAAAAACCAAACACTCCAACACCTTCTTCCACCACTGCCACTACCACCCCGACAACAGCCAGCCCTTCTACTTGCACTGCCACCGTCACAACCTCAATTGGCAACATGGATGCTTTGCTGGGTAGTAGCCACATGACAATTCAAACTCCTCTTGCAGATGATCAGAAACACATGGCTTCCTCTCTCTACCAAGCTCTAATTCGTCCACCACCTTTGCTGCTACAACAGAATCTGATGAACACAAGAGACTTAGACGGCAAAGATTTTGGTATTGGTATTGGTATTGGTAATAATGGTATCTTCCCGAGTTCAACTTTGCCTCTTCCTCATCAAAGCCAAAGCCTACTCTTCCCTTTCTCAACCTCAAGCAGCTCTTTTGACACCAACCCTTGTTCGGTGTCAACTTCTCTGAGATCATCCAATGTTTATAACTATGGGGAGGAGTTCAAAGCAGCGGAAGAATCAACCATCAACAGTACTTCTATAGCGCCTAGCACAGGTGGCACTAACACACAGCCATGGGAGATAGCAGCAACAAGTGGTGTTGGCTTGGGAACTTCAAACTTTTGGAATTGGGAGGACTTTGATTCATTGGTCTCAACTGATCTAAAAGATCCCTGGGATGATTCTGACATCAAACCCTGAGACCAAACAATAAGCAACACATGGTACTGGTAGTGTCCATAGATTAGTTATTTAATTAAATTGGGGTGTTTTTTGTTTCATACAGGTTAGTAAGTGGTCTTGTTTTTTTCAGATGAGGCATATTCTGTGCTGGTCTTTCTGCACCTGTAATTCTTTCAAACAGAAGTATTTGGAGCTGTCATGTTTTAGTTTCAGCTTCAGCTTCAAGCAAAGGGTTCAAAATTCCTGATTAGTTGTAACCCACTCTGTTTGCCTCTTTGTTCATCTCTCTATCATTTCCTCTAATCTCTAATAAAGTGATGTATTAATGTATGCAAGTAGTCAAGCATCATTTATCAATACAGGATTTTTATCTCTATTTTTTTGAGAGTTTTCTGAGTGCTTTGTGATGGGAGTGATATAGATATGGGGTCTGCTCCAGCACTGCTGAACTGACAGAATGTGATTGGAAGATTCTTTGGACATGTATATATCTTGGAATGATATTATCATACGGATTTTATTGCTCATGATTCATCATCACCACCACCACCACCAATTCTTGAGAATCATTCTTTGATTTTGGGAATGAAAGAATTTTTGTTGTACATCAATTTATTATATTATTCTTATTATTCTATTCCTATCTTATGTTTCTGGATCATGTCTCTGTGACCTTTTAAGTTCACATGGTGTTTTCATCTTTGTTCCAATTTAATAGAATAGTAAACAGTGTACGGTATCTTGGGCCATCATATTTTCTAGGCTTTGCCTCTGATTAATTGTCAGTTTCTTCTATTATTGAAGAGCTGTGGAACATTAGTAGACCCCCTTTAGCCACCAGGTGTTAACAAACTGAGAGTTTTAAATTGTTATTGAATGAATTTTAGATCTACCTTGGTGAATGAGGAGCATTCCACGAGTGTGATTGTTACATTTTGAATATTTGATTAATTTGTAAACACTAGCAACTTTGTACTTTATGCATGTGAGGACTGAGCCTAATCAGCAGCCACAATCATGATGATGGGATACGCATGCGTTTCCCATATATTCTAACTATGGCCTAGAAAATACTGAGCCACCTTGCAACTTGTGACAGTAAACGACGCCACAACTCCCAATCTTTCTCTTAGCCACCTAAAATCTTACTAACTCCTAGTGCTGATTTGGAAAAGAAAGAATAAATGAGCCATTAAGTTCTACATGATTTTGCATTATTAATAAGAACAAAAACCATAAAAATTATTGAGTATCGCTTGTTTAGAAGATTTGGTTAGTAAATTAACTATGTAAAACCATCTTACGTTTTCCAATGTGTGGTCTTCTTTTCTCTTAATCTTATAATGTTGGTACAAATATGTTTATTTTGGAACCTGAAGTTGGTTATTTAAGAGACAGCAAAGGAAATTGGTGTGAGCATATCATCCACCCTTGAAAAGTATAATATTTTTATTACTGCTTTGTTGGTATTGATTAAGATATGTATTTGGCCTAAATTCCTTACTCTGCTCCGATAATTATTATAATGAAAGCCAACCAAGAGTGCAACATAACTACTAAATCTGTATTGCAGACAGTAAAGATTGACATAGGACCACTCCACACTCAAGCAGCCATGTGTGTAAAAGTTAAAGTGATTGTTTTGAAATGAGTTTTGGTTTTAGTAAATAGATGAGATGTTCAACATATATAGCATAGGGATTTCAAGAATTGAGTGAGTCAGCAAATGGGTAGTGAAGGTTGAAATGCAAAAAAGTTATTGTGTGATGAGCTCTTGATTGGTGACTACAGAAAAGAGGGTAATTGAATTGAAGGCAATGAATGGTGGAATAGGTACATAATGACTAGGGCAGTTAAAAAGATTGGACCATTTTCATAAAACACTACTCATATCTATCACTATCCACTCTTTTTCTCATCCTATACAAGAGGTGCCTCTTTCTTTGTAAATGACCAAATGGGGTAGCATGCCCACCCACAAAATGAAAAATACTATTACTGTGTTAATTCTTAGTGCCTATTTCTTTTATAATTTCATGTGTTAATCTTAGTTATATTACATTTTTATAACTTTATTTCACATCATTAATTGTTTAAAACCACATAAAAATATAATTAACTATAAGGATATTAAATATATATATATCAAAATATTGATAAATAATAAAAATAAAAGTTTATATTAAGTTATATATTTACCTTTACTTTTTTATAGCTCTAATTTGTATTATTAATTGTAATAATATTTTTAAAATCAAGAATTTAATAAGATTCAAACATAACAAATAGTTAAAAATATTGTACTTCTAGTTATACAAGGGGTATAATTAAATTTAACCAGCTGTCGTCCCTAAATGAAGCTATTTTAGTATCTAGATTTACATTCTTAAACTAATAAGTGAAACTTATTCTTTTATATTTACTTACTCAAAATCTATCAACTATAATAATGTTCGAATTATAAAATATTCATAAACATTTTATGAACATCACATGAAAAGGAGGTTCGCATACAATTCAAAGACTTAAAAAACTATTATTAGATCTTTTATAATTTCCCGTTGAGATTCACTTTTTAAGCGATTTTCACGATATTTATTACACTTTTATGTTTCAACATTAATTGGGATCCCTAAAGTTTTTGTATAAATTATAATATAACAAGATAAATTTCATGCAAATTAGTTAAAAAGAAGTTCAAGAACTATGTCCAAAATTGGAAACAATCATTTATTGGAAAAATAACTTTAACTCAAATTGAGTAATAAAAAAGGAAAACAAAACTTCTTAAAAATAAATTACAAAAACAAAGTTTAGTAATGTTACATTACTCTATAAGTCCCTGAACAACTAGACAATTTTTAAGTAGGCCCCTTTTCTTAATTAGATCATTTAACTTGTATTTGTTTTTTAGTTAGATTTTCCATTTATAATTTTGATTCCAAAGAAAGAAAACTGTGACAAGTGAGGGGATTACAAATCAATTTCCTTAATTTATGCATGTAGAAGGTGTTATTTAAGGTGGTAACAGATTAAAAAAGATCACAGCACATATCATATCAAAAAAATCATACAAGTTTTTACAGAAGACAAATTCTTAAAATATTTTATACTAGGGTTAGTTAAACATTTGTATATTGGTTTCTTAACTTTTTAGAGCTCTTCCTAATGAAATTAAACTTTGGTTATTACATTTTAAAATATAGTTTAGCTTAACTTCTCTATTTATGAAAAATAATTAAAAGAACTAAAGTCAAACTCAATCTTAATAACTGAGTTTTGACGTCAAATTGGCTTTAAAGACACACTGAGCTCAGCAACCAAATTAGGTCATATTGAATAATTTTAGAACAGACAAGTCTTTCATCATATTTACTGTCAAATGAGATTAATTTACAGCATGACCAATCATTATAAAAGGAGTGGTATTATTTTCTTTCATGACATGACACTCCTTTTTTTCTAACAAATAAGAAGCGTCCATTTAAGTCTGATATAGCTCAGACTTTAAACTTATCAGCAACGAAAGAAATAGCTATCAGTTTTTATTAAAACAAGAAAAGTGTTTCTTTTCTTGTGCCCACTTTAGAAATAGAAAGAATGTTTTGATATATAAACCCTCCAAGAGAGAATGAATCAGGCAACGTGAAACTTATATATTTGTAAGAGAAAAACTAAAACAATTTGATTCTTATTACTTTATGCAAAAACCTGTGGAAGCAATAATTGTGACATCATGACAAAGCAGACTAAGGTACACAAGTATGAGCCGCAGAGTGAGGCAGCACCTATTGTGACATAATTGAAGAGTGAAGAAGGAGGAAATAGTTAAGACATTGGGTGTTTTTTCAACCAAGGTTCTTAATAATTTACAAGTAGGCTTTCACATCCAATAGCAATGGTAGCCAACATAAGATTACAAACAATTTCCACAAAACACTGCTACAAATTTCCCATCCTCACACCAGTGTCTCGAGCATAGGGAGGGGGACCATTATTATTAGCTTTTGAAAAACTAACGTAGTAGAGCTCCGAGGTTATGCCTGTCAAAACAATGAAGGCTGCTCCTGCTGCAAACACACCCTTCCTCAAGGTCTGACATGAAGGGGCTCTCTCTCCCATCAGATCACGGTACTTGGTGTGGTATGCATTCCTCACTGAACCAGCAAGCAGGCACGAAGCAGCAATGATAAATGTCACCCTGGATCATGCATCCAACAACAACATATCATGTTTTACAGTTGTGTTGTGAACAAGGGAAAACATCGTATCATATCATGTCTTGTATATTCTTTCATCACAAGAAGTGTTCTGTGATCGTTAACTCACCGCTTTCTTGTTTGAACCCTCACACCGTCAAACACGTTTCTTCTGACACTACCATCTCCAACATTGGTTTAACACGTATCCAACGCTTTTTACTACACTATTTTTGTCGGTTTAGAGGTGACACTTTCATATGGATGGACACATGCTGATATATATTGTTAACAAAATATTATACTATGTGTTATGTCTTGTGTTTCATGATTGTTAATTTCGCTAATAATGATGATGATGATGATGTAGTATATTTCATTTTGTTCACTGGTTTCAGATTTTTGTGCTGGAAATCATAAAAGCAATGTTGTTACGATGGAGAAAACCTTAGAGAAGTGAAAATGAGATTATATCTATATAAGTTATCAAAGAAAACAGAAAACAGAATAAGAATTCCATAAAACTAAATAGACCAGTTGATTCTGTGAATTGAAATAAAAAAGAATAATTTAGAGCAAACATGTAAAGTTCTGTTTGAAAGAGTATGATCCAAAAATGAACACTTACCAACTAGTGATGAATAAGCAAATTGCCCATGATCTGGATCCACTGGGTCTCATAGCTTTCCCACAGCACAGACATCTAGTTACAACCATAATGATCACTTGACTAGCGACTACGATGAACAATGACCCCACACCTAGGCCGGTTGCAATGTCAGAGTCATATTGACAGTACTTTCTTCCCGCAGTGTTTTCAGATAACGAGGCCTGTCAGATCAACAAATAGTTACACCGAATTCAAGTATTCCAACACTCCATAAATTGTTTCTGGTTTTGAGTTCTCATTCCATCTCAACTTCGCACCCTACTATGCAAGGAAACTATACAGCATGGCGAAAATGTTGAACTAGTAGCTATTAGTTTTGTGTACAATGAAAAGCTTTAATCCATACGAACTTTGTTTCCCTCAAATCACAAATAATGCAACTTGGAATTGCCGATGCAGTGCAACTAATGTATTCAATGCAAATATCAGTAGCTTTTCACCCTACGGAATTGTTGTTGAAAAACATTCCTAAAGTTTTGCTTTCCATTTTCTAGAAGTATAATTCAGGATCCAATCGT